GATTTATTTTGACTATGACTAATTTGAGTTCTATATGCCTCACTTACTTGTATGTCAGATTCTTTTCCTATGCTTGGGAAATTTTTTGCTACTACTTCTATAGTCTTTTTATGGCATTTGTGTTGACTCCTGCTGTTTCGTTGATACAATATATTACATGTTATATAATATACATTACATATTATATTGCACGTTATATATACATTAAATGTAATATATTACATTATATGATATACAATGTATGATATATAATACATATTTCATATTATATATTACATTATATTACATTATATTATATTATATTATATTATCTTTCATCTGTTGAATTGTTATTTACTGGTTCCTTCTGATTTTTAACAGATCTTTCCTTTTTTTTTGGTGGAACCAGGGATTGAACTCAGACCCTTGTGCTTGCCAGGAAAGCACTTATTCTACTAAGCCATCTCCCCAGCCCAGATCTTTCCTTTTTCAATCACTAGCTGCAGTGCTGCCTTGAAGGTCTGAAAGTTTATCCTTAGTTTTGTTCAAGCAGTTTGCCATCTTGTATTGTAATTATTAATTTCCTGGATATGTTTTTGAATATGTTTTATGCATTTTAATTCTATAATGTATTGTTCATTCAATGTTTTCATCAATTTTCTATGCTCCTCTGTTATTTTTGGTAGAAGGATTTTTTTTTTTTTTTTTTTTTTTGCAGCCTGAAGATGCCTTGAGGGCATTTCTGGTTTTCTATGAGAAGCTGGGTTAGAACCAGAGCATCTTGAGCCTGACTGCTTTGTTTAAACAGGCACTTATATCCTCTGTTATTTTTTTACCTGAGAGAATATTTGTGATCTGATTTCTTCTATAGTCTGGTGGAGTTGTTTCTTTACTTCAGTTGCTGTCATTTCAGAAATTTCAGGTATGTGACTTCCAAATTCTTCTCTGTCCTTGTCACCTGGACTTATTCTGGGTGGATTGAAAGGCTGAGATTGCCTTGTACTCTCTTGTTTTGACAGTTTCAAAGCTCTCAAAGTTCACCAGCTCTCGGGCCTGCTCCTGGGATGGGGAGGTGGTGGCTCACTGAGGTCCCCAAAATTGTCTGAGACTTAGCTGGCTGCCATGATAGTGTGTATGTGTGTGTGGTGGTAGGGGGCAGGATTCAACATGGCCTGTACATGACTTGTCTTGATTCCTATTTTTTCCTTCCCATCCTCATCCCCTCCTTTCAAACCTTCTTTATTTCTAGGTTCACAATGCTCTCTTTTCATTTTATCCTCCTTTTCTCATGTTTTCCCTCCCTCCCTCCTTCCCTTCTCTCCTTTTTTTCTTCCCCCCTTCTCCTTTCTTCCTTCTTTCCTTCCTCGGTCTTCAAACTTTCTGAGAATGGGTCCTGATTTAGCCCTCTCTAATGTTTTTTTTTTCAACAAATAATACACTGCATATATTCTTCTTAGTGGTTAATTGCTGTACAAGATGCGGACTTGTGATCCTATTTACAAACACCATTAGAACAAATCATTCTATTCATTAACAGAATGTAACTATATATCTATCCCAACCACTTTGAATACACAGATACAAAATGGACATTCATCTGTATACCCCATTTTTTCTAAGTTCCGTTATTGAATATTATAGGTGTGTAAACTCAGCAAAATATTCTAAAAGAGTCCAGTAGCCCATAATAGCATTGGGTCTTCTGTTTAACTGGCAATGTCAGAAATTATTGACCTGAGTCCCCCACAGCTCAACTTAACAGCATGGCTTTATTTCTTATAATTTCGTCTTCATACTTTTCTGCTGGATGGTTAAGACGAAGGTAAAGCAGGACCTATGCAACAAGAGTTGTAGCTTTTTGGTCTGAGAAGGTCAGTGAAATGCCCTCAGGATTTGTCCTGAGATCCTGTACCTCAGATTGTAGAACCTTTATCAGTGCAGCCATGTGGATGAGTCATGGCCAATGCTTGGCCAATGTGCTCTCTGTGAAAGCCTGAGAGAGCTCTCTAATGTTTTAGGCACTGGCCTGGATTTTTTCTCTTACCCTTCTATGCCATGAAGGAGATACTTTTGGTGTAAAACCTCATACTGCACAATTTTTAAATTTTTTTTTTTTTTGTTTTTTGAGACAAGGTCTTACTATGTAGTTCAGGATGGCTTTGAATTTACTATGTAGTTCATGCTGGCCTTAAATTCGAGACAATAACTCAGCCACCAAAGTGCTGGTATTATAGGTATGCACAACCATACCTAGCCCCAAGCTGTTTTTTGTAGTTTCTAATAGGTGTGGACTTTTTGTGGGTGAGCATTTTCTTGGGTTAGTGTTGCTGGCCCTGTTTGCCAGTTCTGTCTGGTACTGCAGATCCTCCTGGGTTACCTCCTTTTCTTGGGATTTGTCCTGGCTAGTTGCTTGGTTGTCAGTGCCTCTGATATATCTTCCTGAGGGGAAGCAAAGACACAGAGTAACCTTGGAGTTGGTAGGTGGCTTGTCCAGGTCACAGGTGTTATGGGTGCTAAGTTGCCTGGGGTGAAGACATTGGCTTGGTCTTTGGTGTGGCCACAGTTGAAAGCTTTATTTATTTTCCATTTTGTTTTATATTTTTATGGAAGGGTCTACAGGGTGTTTAGGGTCTCACTACTAGATGAGGCTCATAGTAATCTGCCTGTTCATAACTTCCCAAGAGCTGGGATTATGGGAGTGCGCCATCTTGCCTAGTCTCAATTGCTGTCTCAGCGCATTTGGGCATGGGGCCGTAACTACAGGCCCTTGCGACTGCTTGCAGGCACTTTAATCTGCTGAACAATTTGTCTGGCCCTTGAAGGCTTTAAATGAAAGTAGGGACACAGTACTTTTTTTTTTTTTGCAAAGAACAGAAAAAGGAAGGGATATCTTCCCCCAAAGTGATGGTGGCTGGCTGGTTCTTTCAGAGTAAGTCCATAGTCAACCAGACTGTGAGGAGAAGAAAGAGTTGGGGTAGAGGAGAACAAGAAACTTGCTCAGAGCCAGCTCCTGTGCACTGTGGGAACTGTGCAGCTCTCTAGACCTCATGCCATAAGAGCAGGACCGTCAGACTGCTGAGCAGGAGCTCCTGGGGGAGGTGATATGGTTTGCTTAGGGCTTCGGGTCTGGTCATACCCAAAGCCGGTGGTGTTTTGTTGTTTTGAGAAGTGTTCACCAGAGGGTCTGCAGGCAGAAGGTGGAGGAGGGTAGACAGTGGTAATGTTTGTTTTAAACTAAGCTGCACTATTTTTATCTGTTTTATTTAAATTATCATTAAGTATGGGTGTGGAAAAAGGATCTCTGGGATTAAAGAAATGTGCGATGCACATGGTCATGTGGATCTTCTCAAGGGCCAAAGACAGTGATTTTCAAGGGCTGGGGCTGATAGATTATCTCTCAGCCCAGGTAGAAGAAGTAAATGTTGACATTATACCATTTTTTTCCCCTCTTGTGCCGACAGGGATCTGTGGAGCCAAAGGGGCAAAAAACACAGTTGTGAAATTATTGTGATTAATTCAGAAGCAATTACTTTGAATCTTTGTTTCTTTTTCTTTCTTCCTACCTTTGTTTTAAAAATTATTTTAGTTTTTTGAGGTATAGTCTTGCTATGCAGTTCAGGCTGGCCTTGAACTCACTATGTTGGCCTTAAACATGAGGTATTCTGATGCAGCCTCCAGAGTACTGGAATTATAGGCGTATGCCACCACATCACAGCTTTGAAGATTTTCATTTTAATTGGGATAACTATCTAGGAAGCAGTAACTGAACATCTGTTGCTGATTTTAATTTTAGAATCCCCAAATGACTGAAGTTGAGGGATGCAGAAGTTGTTCTGGTTGAATTGGACTCTCCGAGCTCACCTGGGGAGTTATATCATATGCACTGGTGTAGTTGTTTCATGGGTCTGTTTTTTCTCTGAAAAGGGCAGTCTGGAGAATGGCAGCCTCTTAGATTTCTGAGTAAGGTGGATTAATCCTGACTAAAGAGAATTAGAGCAGCCACAAGAGCCAAAGAATTCCTGAATGTTCTCTGGTCAGATTTCCTTGTAAGTTACCAAGAGTCTGAAAGGAAAACAGATTGTTTGACAAATTCCTGATCATGTGTCCTCTGGGTCTCCTTCCCAGTCCTAGTGACTTCATGACATTGCTGCAATATATTTCCTTTCCTAAACTTACCCCCTGCAAGTTTTAAAAAGAAAAGAAAGAACCTAAGAGGTCATGGGATTGCACAGCTAAGTGCTGAAAGAGCCTCCAAATGTTGTTCTTTCATTTCTCGGATCTGTTTTCTCATCAGCATAATGTGTGTTCATATAATAATGTGTATTTACTGTTTATAAGTGCAAACCTAGCATGAAACACAAAGGTACTTCTTGCCGTCTTACTTTGATCACTTGTATAATAAAAATTTTAAGACACTCATCTTCTAGACTCACATGGGGAGTAGAGGATATGTGTGCTCTTGTACACTGCTGGCACAAAATGAGTACAGAGTAGGTAATTTATTGACTGAGTTAGTGACAGGAAAGATGAGATTCCATTTTCTTATTATGACTGTTGTCCTCTTGATTTGAGTGTAGTGAGAAAAAAATACATCTCTTGGCTTCCAGATTCTATGATGTCTTACCACCCTTTGTTTGCTCTTATCAAACTCATTACAGCTTAGTTAGTTATAAAAATAAACACTTGTGGGGCCGAGGAGATGGTTCAGTGGAATAAGTGCTTTCCTGCCAAGTGCAAGGGCCCTAGTTCTAATCCCCAGTTCTGCCAAAAAAAAAAAAGGAGTAAAAATAAACACTTGAGTTGCCTCCCTTCAAAGAACGAAGTCCGGGGTCTGATGCCGTGTCTGTTTTGTTCACCAACCACCTGTTCAGTGCACGAAAGAACTTTTATTGGATAAATCAATGACAAGTGGTCCATGGTTGGGTAACTTCACTTTCTCTTATTTCTATTTCTGAGATGTTTTATGACTATCTTTGCAGATCCTCTGGTCTTTTCATGATTTTTACCCTTGTTTAACACAGGTGGAGGGACTGTCATGTCTTGTGCCAAGCAGGAGCCAGGCAGCTACTATGTGGGCGTGGATGTTGGAACAGGCAGTGTCCGTGCAGCTCTGGTGGACCAGAGCGGGGTGCTCTTGGCTTTTGCAGACCAGCCAATTACCAAATGGGAGCCTCAGTTCAACCACCATGAGCAGTCATCTGAGGATATCTGGGCCGCTTGCTGTGTTGTCACAAAGGTATGGGCCATGCTCACATTCCCACATGCTGGATATTTGGGTCTCTCTGCCTGGAACAATGGACTGTGTGGGGTAACTTGAGATGCGAAGTCAAGTGTCAGAGAGACCTTGCCTTTCAGTAGCTCATGTAGTCGTGGAGGTTGACAAACAGCTGCAGAAGGATGTCATTGATAGGTGCTGTGAGCCAAGTAAATACTGCTGAAGCATTGAGGGGACTTAGGGAAGATAGGATGCAGGATGCAGGAGCTTGACATGTGGAGGAGGATGCTGATCATCCTAGCTCACATCTACTGTGCTGTTAACTGTAAAACATGTTAACATGTGCTGTGTAGTTGGTCCTCATAGCAGCCTAAAGGAAATACTGTTACTACGTCTCTTTATTCCTATTCGGGGATATGCCCAGTGTGTGCTAGGCAGGTGTTCATCTTGAGTGGCCTTGAATCAGATGCAGCTTGCTGGCTTGGGAAAGGTAGGGGTGCTGGATAATATTTGTTTATATTTAAACTTTCATTTTCAAATAAAGTTTGACTTCATTTTTTGGTGATCAGAAACAATAGGTAACTTTCTCTCTTTTCTTTTTCCTTCCTTCCTTCCTTCCTTCCTTCCTTCCTTCCTTCCTTCCTTCCTTTCTTCCTTCCTTCCTTCCTTCTTTCGTTCCTTCCTTCTGAAACAATAGGCTTCCTTCCTTCCTTTTTTTTCTTTGAAAGAAAAAAAAATGAAGTCCTAGACTTCTTCTTTTCTCTGTTCTTAGTTCAGTTACTTAAATATTCATAACATGCTTGGTAATTTGCAGATGAACAATTTACCATTCTGTCCATATTGATCAGTCTGTTTAAACTTTCATGAGCTCTGGGTTACTGTTAGTTCCCCTGGAGAAGAAGGCAGAGAGAGGTAGGGGTGGGCAGACTGCATCATTATATAGGAATAAAAGACTGATGCATCTTCATTGCTGCTTGTTTAATTTTCCTCTTCTCTCCCCACTCTGTCCCTCCCACCTCACTGAAAATATTCAGCTCTTTGCCCTTGGTTCTCCTTTCTTCTTCTAACATCTAGCCATTCTTGCCATTAAGAAGATCATCAAGAAGAAAATAAAATTCCCTGCTGAGAAACTACTTAAGAAAAGGTCTTCTCTAAGTCCAGTTTAGTTTAATGGTAGATTTTTAATCATCTCCCAGCAGCAGACAACTTGTCATTGGCTTGCGCCCAGTTAGCCACATGAAGGCGGTGGGCATTTGTCCTTTGAGAAAGTGTCTTTCTGTAGCAACTTGAAACAGGTTCTGGGGTCTCAGGCCATTCCCCTCACATGGACTGTGGGGATGTGGCCGTGTGCCAGAAGCCTCATGAAAGCGTGACCCATCTGCTGGGATGTCACTGCTTGGTGTAAGGTTTTACCTCAGAGAGGTGGCACACCATAGATCATGTATTCTGGAGCCAGAGTACTTACAGTGGCACACTAGGTCCAACAGTTTTTAGCTGGTGATCTTGGACAAGTTACTTCATGTTTCCTTGTATACCTACTTTCATAGAGTTACTGTGAAGAGTTAATGCGTATAAAACATCACAGTGGTCTCTTGAGGAAAAGTACCACTGTGTTTCTTACGGTAATGGTGGATGATAACAAAAATTAATAGATGATAGAATGAATTTCTGACAATTAAATATTGAAAAGCTGGACTCATGGAGAGGTACCTCTAGAGGATAGTCTCTTATCCCCTATAGTTAGGGTTCTGTCTATGAAAGACTTTGATAAACTCTAGTCTAGGGGAAGGGTGGTATAATGCATCTTGTGGGTTGTTTTGTCTCTCATGAAATCCAGGAATTTGAGAGCAGTTGTGTACTTCCTTTTCCCTACGGTCTTTACATTTTCGGAGTTGCTTTTATCCTTAGTTGAGTTAATAACAGTGGTGATAATATGATGATGTCAGTGATGACAGCTAACGTTTCTTAAGAAATGATCATGTGCCAGATATTATGCTGAATTCCCAAGACTTCATTTCACCCTTATAGCAATCACTGGAGGTACTTTTCATTCTCTTTATTTTAAAGATGGAAAAAGAAAAACCAAAAGCACTTTGCAAGGCACAGTAATTTGGACTAATACAAGGAAGGGCTGGACGGCTGCTCGAGCCGGTACTGTCCCCTGTGCACCTCCTAGGTCCTCTCTTCACACATGACCTGTGTCTGGAAATTGTTTAGTATAACCTGAAGCCTGAATTTCATCTCAGAAAATGTGAAGGTCCCAGTACTTGACGAGAAGCATAGCCCATAGTAGATACTCAACTAATGTTTGCACACTATGTAAAAGAATAACATTGAACAAATGTTTATGAGCTAATTGATTTTCCAACTTATCTTTTCCTTTTTAATGGAAGTCCAGTGTTAATCATGCACTTGCTTGTACTACTCCTCCCATGTTGGAAAAAGTTAAGATTCGGGGGCCAGAGCCATAGCTCAGTATCATAAGCGCCTGCCTGGCAAGCACAAGGTCCCAAGTTCAGTGCCTGGTATCATAAATAAATAAATAAATAAATAAAAAAGTTAAGTGCAAAACATCCTAATAAGGGGCTGGGGAGATGGCTTAGTAGAATAAGCGCTTGCAAGGGTCTGAGTTCAATCCCCGGTTCCGAAAAAAAAAAAAAAAAAAAAATCCTCATATCCATTTGTTCATCTCTTAAAGGTAAGTAGGAAGGGGATTGTTAGTTCTATTTTATAGGTGGGAAGAAACATTGAAAGCCAGTTAAGTGACTTCTCCAGGGGAACCCAGATTGTATGTGGTAAGTTTGGAGCCAGATGAGTCAAATATATGTATTTTCTCCATCCCAAACACCACATATGTTTATCTTTTACCTAGATTAAGAGCCCATTGGTGGCTTTGTATTTGTTCTTTCCATCTTTGTTTTATTCTACTTCTTGTGGCTGGAGTGCTTTTTTTTTTTTCTTGAATGCTAAACTGAACTTGTCTCTGTTTTGCTGTAGTCCTTCCATAGTATCACGGTACTGTCTTCGTAAAATTCAAAGTCCATAACATGGCTTTCATGGCTTTGCACAGTCTGGTTCTGATCTGTTGTCCTGAATTGTCTCATAATGCTTCTCTCCAGTCTCTTTGTTTTGATCATATCCTCCATCTGTCATGTCTAAAACATGAAAATTTGACACAAGTTTTTTTTCTTCTGACTGAACATTCTTCATGCCTGAATTAGAATACTGGGAGTGGAATAAATGGAAAGGATGAGAACTAGAGGTATTGGAAAGGAAGGTATAATGGAACTTGGTGACAGTGGAGAAGAAGCAAATATAGCCAACTTTAGAACTCTAGTTCTTGGAAGAACATTGGGGTCACTGACATAAATTTGCCCACAGTTTCTTGCCTTATCAGGCAACAACAGCACACCTAATCTAGAAAGTTAGAGAAGTGACAGTCTCAAACTGGATTTATTTATTTTGCCAGACACTGAGTTGGTTTTAGAAAATAGACTGCCTCTATGGGCCTTCCAAGTAACATATGTGCCACACAAGTCCCTTAGTTTTCTTGCTGCTCGTGCTTCTGCACTTTTGCAGTACTGTTATCCTGCCAAGATCACTGTTCCTCAGAACCCCACAAGGTTATCTCATTTCCAATGTTGCTTCAAATCTGGCCTTCTTAGAAAATACCTTCCCCTTCTGGCATACCCTATCCCCTAGATCAATCACTTTCTGTTATGGTACATTATATTTAAACTATAAAACTTATTTGATTTATTGCTGTTGTCTGACCTTACTAAAACATAAGCTCCAAAACAAGTTTTTTAAAAAATGGTTTACTTCACATTATTTTCCAAATATGCAGAGGAGAGCACAGCTTGACTCTAAAGGTGTTTCCTTGTTTCTTAAGACCTACTAAAGGAGGGATTGACTTACTTAGGCACTAGGGAGTAATAGAATCTAAGGGAAATAGGGATTGTGTAGCTCTACACAAGCTCTCAAAGCTGATAGAGGCACTTAATTCAGTACTTAAATGAATACAGTACCAACCATACAGAATTGTGCTGCCAGCTGGACACTGTGCATGGAGCCCCAGGTTTTGACCCTTGCTCAGAATAAAGCTAAGCCAGGTTTGCCTGTGACTCTAGAGTTCTCAGTCTAGAAGGTTTCTGAGAAATTGTATCTCTGCACCGGCTATGCTGAGCTTGCTGGTTTAAAACATATATAGGATTGAACCCATTCCCAAAGGAAGGACAAAGAGATGCACAATCCCTTCCCCAAATATTTGTTGGCAGCCCAAGAGCTACAAGTTGACAGTTGTTAGACATGGACCAGGTTTCCAAATGAGGTTACAAAATTCTCTTCTCTGGAAGTTCTGTTGAAGAGCGTATGCTTTCTCTCTTGCCAAGGAAGGCCTCTTGATGTAACCTTATTGGAGTGAGTTTACTTTCTTCTTCTGTTATGAGCAATATAAGAATCCTCAGGCCACCAGGTCAGGCCGTTGGGCATGATTGTAAGGCATTTCCTTGTAAGGCTGGGGAACTAACAGTGTATACCTAGCTAGCCAAGTCAGATTTAAATGGTTGTCATCATTATTCTTTTAGTTCCTGCTTTATAAAGAAGTGGAGGCACTTTACCTTTGTGATTGAGAAACCATGATTTGAATATAGAAATCTGAGAGTCTTTAGACAACACTTATAACCTACAGTGTTTTTTTGTGTGTGTGTTTTTAGGGAAGGGTCTACAGGGTGCTCAGGGTCTCACTTCTAGATCAGACTCATAGTGATTCGCCTGTTTACAGCCTCCCAAGAGCTGTGATTACATGCGTGCGCCACCATGCCCCATCTCAGTTGCTGTCTCAGTGTACCCTGGGGGTGGGGCTGGCATGGCAGGCTTTAATCTGCTGAGCTATTTGTCTGGCCCTTAACCTAGATTGAAGGAAACATTTTCTTGGTGCTAATGGAAGATTACAGTCATTGTTAATACTCAGAAAGATTTGAGTCTATATAAATTTAATATTGTTGTTCTCTTTATATGTG